TATACTATATTCTATTCTATTCTATTCTATTCTATTATGTTATATTATGTTATATTATATTATATTATATTATATTATATTATACTATATTATATTATATTATATTATACTATATTATATTATATTATGTTATATTATATTATCTTATATTATATTATATTCGAACATATCCGGCATTTAGCTACAAGTATCATGTTAATACATCGCGGATTTCGGAGTTCACATTCCTGTGTATGCTAAAGTACATCGTTTGGTAATTTGAGCCTACCTGATTCCCTAGTCTGATCTGGGCTTTACACCTAGAAGCCCTCAAGCTTAAGCCACTTGAGACACGCAACAACGGACAGACCGACTAACATGCTGGACAAATCTGCATATGTCTCTAACCCTTCTGGCATATGTAGAAGGTGTCCGGTTTAGCACCGCTCCCCCCAATCTGCAACCGGGTTGTCGAGTCTTTGCGCGCATTGCCCAAGTCTTCTCCTCGGGTGCCGGGGTGTTCACGCGGTACTCCGCTAGGATGGACTCCTGGGCAGTTTAGGAGGTTGGATCTAGCACTTAGGACGTAATGCTTAGCATTTAGGGCTTAGGATTAGGATCCAGGGGAGATGCTCGAAGTTTTCTGGCCTATAGTTAGAATTCGGAAAACACGAGATTAGGCTTTAGAGTTTAGAGTGCTTGCTTGCTGCAGGGCTTTACAGGGTTACTTGTAGTGACTTATACAGATGCAGGTTCCAAGTTGAACGTTTGGTGAAGTCTTGGGTTCAGGATTTAGGAGTTCTTAGGGGACAGAGACGACTGTTATTCCTCATAGCATGAGAAGAACAGCATGCTACAAGCCGCTAGCACAAGAACGACTCCCTAAATCAAACGCTATTGGTGATTCACCACGAAGTCACAAAAATGTTGTTTGTGGTAGTCTGGGAGGTTCATAGGACTATGATGTCGCAAGGGGGCCGGGATCATCGGGAACAGTCATGTAAGTGTGTGACTCGAAAATGCAAGTTGCTTCTCGATATGGGTGCGGCTGTTGTTGTTGATGGCGGTGCTGGTGCTGCTCTTGTTGCTGCTGCTAATGTTGCTACTGCTGCTGCTGTCCGAAAAGTTTAACCTCCCATTGTTGCCAACTGCCCTAAAACATGGCCTAGATACCCAGATTTAAAGGCTGTAAGACCTCAAACTGCTGGTCCTGGCTTGTAAACATATTCTTGAGCCCGTACAACCTTTCATGGTGGGTATCTAGGCTATGCTTTAAGGGCAGTCGGGCGGGGTGAGTCGAGACTATGGGAGTTTGAATTTTGTGGCCAGCAGCAGCAGCAGCAGCAACATCAACAGCACCATTAGCAGCATTAGCAGCAGCAGCAGCAGCCGCGGCGGCGGCAGCAGCAGCAGCAACAAAAGCAGCAGCAACCAGAGCAGCATCACCAGCAGCACTCATAAATCACAAGATTCTACAGACTTGAACCTTCAATTGCCAACCCCAAATCCTATACATCCCTAAACCCCAAGAAGGACTAGACTTCAAACTCTGCGAGCATAAGAGCGAAACCCCAAACTGAAGAACCTCCAACTCTGAACTCCAAAAGCGCACTAAACCCCACACACCCTAGACGCCAAGTCCCTCGACAGCAAAGAAACACGAGTCCACACCGCCAACCCAGATCTTATGCCCCAACTGCTGAGCCAGCGGCCAGGCAGCGATCTGGATCTACGAAGACCAGATCCACCCCTTCGGCCTTCAACAGCTCCTGGCAGCTCAGCTTTATCGGAAGTTTGGAAAGAAAAAATTACGAGCAGTTTGCATAAAGTCTATAGGCTCTATGGAGGTACGAATGGCTTTTATACTGCCAACAAATCTGGTCTGCAGCTCCTGGCATTTCTCAACAAGAGTTGTGCTTAGTTCCTGTAGGGTTTATGTAGCTTTGTGCCAGACGGTCTTGTCTGCAAGGGTCCGGCGTGGATGCCTGCGCATGCTTGTACCGGTATCTCCTTCGCGCATGGCTTGCATCCGCATTTCTGTTTCTTGCGAGACCAATCGCATGTGGAATCATCAGCTTGCGCACGTCACCTCTGGGCGACCGGATGTTTCAGGTTCTAGTTCTAGTCCTGCGACTACGTGCGGCTGCGCTCTCGGAAGTAGGCAATTGCGAGAGCGTGGGGCGCTTGTCTCTGTCTTGGTTCACCGAGGCTGCCACCAGTGTGCAGAACGTTTTCCAGCTCTGCAGCCGTCCCTGTCTCCCAAGCATCAGCTCCCATACCCTTCTGCTCTGGCAATCTCGGAAATGATGCTCTCCCCACAGACCCTTCCGCTTGAGGATGCAGTTTAGCTCGTGGCAAAAACGATGCCGTGTTTTGCAAGGGCGCCCTGGCAATTGAAAGGGAATCCTTTTTATGAGGGTGCCGGTACTCTATTGGGGACCTAAAAAGGGGACCCTAAATTAGAGAATTACCCACATGCTGAATCTAAAAACGAAGTTGGGCCTCGGCCACATCGATTGTACAACTGGGATCCATCTCCACTGCAACCAATGGCCGGGGTACCTGGAGTGATCTTCCACGGTGTAGGGCTGACTGGGTTCAGGGCTTGTAATATTGGGGCCTTAATAATTAGAACATAAATTATAATCAGGAATCCCCAAAATAGTATAGGTAATTCTTTAGGTGCTTACATTACGGCTTGTTCGTTGGGGTCGGACAAGAGTTGCCGGGAGGATGTGGGCATGGGGTTTAGGGTTTAGGGTTATTTGGAGCTTCTTTGGCTGCCAAGGCGATCGTCTTACAATGTTCCTCCAGTGGAGCCCAACTCGATAGAAAACCTCCTTCCGACTGAGTTTTGCTTACTCAACTGCTACGCTAAGCTTTGAGAATACCAAAAAAGTGCTCATCGTGTGCTAGTGACCCAGGCCTCGCGGCTCAACCACTGAGAAAAAAGAGTAAGGCTTTTCCTTCCTACCCATAGGCTCCATTGTAGTTCCTCTTTGTAGATTATTTTTTAGGATCCTATAAGTTAACCCCCAAAAGGAACTACACTGGAGCCTATGGGTACGAATGCAGTATAAGGGTTCCCATGATCATACCAGGGATATGTTCCCGAACTACACAGACACATACCCAAAACCCCAAACTCTAGACCCTTGACCCAAAACGCTTAACCCTAATCCCTAAACCCTAAACCCCTAAACACTCAGCCCGGATCCATGAGACCCTGAACCATGAGATCCTGAACTCCGACCCACCTGCAGCCAAAACTGTAGAAATCAACCGCGAATCACGCCATGGAGGTGTCTGAATGATTCGACTAGGAGATTATGACTGGGATATCTCCTACCCTGAAGATTAGATGAACACTCGAGAGTAGTATTGGCAATCACTCAGGCCCCGAATGGGAAAAGCTGCTCTCCAAGTTGTGATCTCTTCTCCCAGGCCCTGCCTTGAATAGTATGCTCTCAAGCTTACCAACCTGGCAGCCCCAAACCCTGTAATCCATACACCTATAATCCCGGAAACCTGCGCCCCTTTGTCCCTACACCCACAAGCCCCCCATCTGTAAATCCGACACCCAAGTCGCTGTTCCTGATCCCGAAACTCTGCACCCGCATCCCCACACAGTGAAATCCCAGCTGTCTCACTTGGCCCGTTAAGGCTTCTCTCAAGAAGAAGGCCTCTCTCAAGAATGAGCCTAAATAAAATCGCCTTATCTGTTTAGGGTTTAGGGGCAAGCCCAAGAAGAGTCTTTAGCTAGGGTTTAGGGTTTAGGGGGGTTGATGCTAGTTTACAACCACCCTATGAGCCGGGCACTGGGATCGAATCTTCATCCCCCCCAGCAGCTTCCTCAGCAAGAGCTGGCTTTCAGGTCATGTAGGGGCCTTAATAAGTAGAATATGGGGGTATACTATACTGCTATATATCAAGGAACCCCCAACAATAATCTTGGCAACTATCTAGGCCTCTATGTTCGTGTTCATCAACCCCTAAACATGCAGAGTTGGAGCTGGCCTACGGGAAAAGTTGAGCCTTTGGAGCTCGGGGTTCAGCTTTTAGGGGTTTAGGGGTTTAGGGTTTAGGGGTTTAGGATTTAGGTGTTTAGGGGTTTAGGGGTTTAGGGGTTTAGGGTTTAGGGGTTTAGGGTTTAGGTTT